CAGGAGTATTTTTGGGGGCTGGTCTTGTGGCATATGTATTTATAAGAGCTGTGAGTTCAATGCCAAAACTCTCTGTCCTAAAAGTCTTCATTCAGTCCTCACTCTGGGTGTGGTGGTGTTCTGTGGTACAACATACTCCTATGTTGAAAAGTTTGCAACTGAAGTTAACTAAACTGAGATGTCTTTTTCTCAGCAGTGTGCAAACCACAAGCATCATCTCTGTTGAATCCAGTACAAAAATGTCTATTCCCCGTATGTGAAACTTTAGCTATTAATGCATCTATATTAGTGTATTAGTACACCTTTACTCATGTGTCAACGGAAGACCCACCATGAACAATCACTTGTGTATATGTATATTATACATAACTTTTTAAAAGCTGAAATTAACATATGATCTACTTCATTTATTCCAGATTTGGGAAATTCTCTTGCTATAGTAGTAATAATAAAGATTATCATCATAGCAAAATATTTCAAAATCAGAAAGGGAAAAAGTTAAAGTGGGAGTCAAGATGATTATCTGCTGCACTGTAAAGAGATATTGTATAATACATGACAGGTTTCCTGTATCTGTTCTGGCAGAGAAGCTCAATCTGTTTGTTAGAGAAAGCTCTCCAGTTATAGTCCAGTAAGTGGTGCAAATGATACCCATGCAGCCAGGGAAATAGCCTGGAGAAATAGTATTTTGCTTTATAAGAATAGTAAGATGTTCTAGCCTAAGGGAGGGCTCCCTTAGGCTAGAACATCTTACTATTCACCATTGAGCCAAGTGTTGAGCCAACCAACTAGGAATGACTTCATGAACTTGTTCACAAATTTTGACATATCAATTTGAACCAGTAGAGAAAAAAATACTCATAATCATCTCACAGATGTAACATTATCTACAGCTACTTTCAGTACCATTGATATTCATTTAGTCTTTTTCTCCAACTGATCTTTATGAGTTAACTTCAATAAATACTTCCTCCAAACCATCAATGTGTCTTTTAGACCCCCATTCCTACAAAACTGCTCAAAGAAGTCCTGCCATTAATTAATGCTTCAACCTTAACTATAATTAGCCTATGGATTATGCAGAAAAAATAGAACTGGCCTGAAAGGGCTTTTGCTTTATAATTTATTCAAGTTGTGTATCATGTTTTTAAAAAATAACTAGTATTAAAGTAACTAATTAATTTTGAATATGAGGAATCAGTAAAGTAATAGGATTAATTTCTTGGAGAATTAATCAGTAATTAGTAACTAATTACTTTTTTCAAGTAACTTGACCAACATGTGAGGCCACAATAATGCCCCCCAGGAGCCAGATGCAGACAGAAAAAAGACCCAAGAGACCTGGGCCATCCACAGCACCCCCAGAGTACTGAAGACCCCAAAAGCTGCATGCCCACCCCAGCATTAGAGGAAGGGAGGCCCTAGATGGAGCCCTCACAGCCAAAGGGCAAGAGCACCTGAGAACTACAGGCCAGCCATTTTTGTGGGAGCTGAAATCGGGGCCACAGGACGCCAGGCACCCAAGAACCACTCGACACCCAGAATAGACACCCTCTTCCATGCTAAAGAGACCCGAGCCAACCCTGACTTCAACCCCCAAGAGACCAACAACCACGAGATTGTACATAACACTGTGAAGGCTGGACAATGAGATGCGTAGTCACAGGTGGGATCCATTGATAACTAGGTTTCAGGGACTTCCAGGGGATATTCACATCGCTTATGTTAATGAAAGTGTGGGGAGTGAGTTGGAGGGTGGGGTGGGGTGGGCTGCTTTTAACCATGTAAAGCACTTTGTGCTACTTTTTTTTTTTTGTATGAAAAGTGCTTTATAAATAAAGATTGATTGATTGATTTATTGATTATGACACAGTGTTTTACCCATCTTCTGTATTTGTTGCAGAAAGAAAGGCAAGCTGGACTGCGGCAAATACACATAGGTATGGTTGCTAGTACAAGTTCAATACAAAATTGCTGATATCCTGGGACCAGTTGGGACTACTCTTCAACAGTGACTAAAATATTTAGGAGAAGTTGGTGGTCATAAATGAGAAGAAAGGAAAACAGATACACAGTACACAGAGTGGCCATAAAGAGAACAGGTTACAGATGATGGCCAGCCACACTCACTGACACCATCTCAAAGTAACACATCATTAGTTTCTTTAGATTATGGTATGAACAGATAAGATACAAAGTCAATGACATCTATAAGACTGGAAAGGTTTACAAAACCTTTCTAAATCTTTGGAATCCAATGAACTAAGGTGAGATCATTATGGACAAATCAAGAATTCTTGGAACAGTGGTGAACCTTCAAGTGGCTGACCTACCAAAATTCAAGAGTAATCAATGACTCATCCCGGAGGTCACAAAAGAATTAAGAACAACATCTTAAGAACTGCAGGCCTCAGGTTAAGGTCCGTGTTCATGATTCAAAAGTAAGAAACTGGGTAGAAATGGCATTCATGGGAGAGTTTTAAGGCAACAACTACTGCAAAAACATCTTCAAAATACCCAATACTTTTGGGGAAATATCCTGTGGACTGATGAGACAAAAGCTGAACTTTTTGGAGGGTTTGTGTCCTATTACATCTCGTGTAATACTAACAGCATTTCATAAAAAGGACATCACACCAATGGTCAAACATGGTGGTGGCTGTTTGATGGTCTATGCTTTGCTGCTATGGGACCTGGATGACTTGCAGTGACAGTCCCATGAATTGTCCTCTCTACCAGAAAATCCTGAAAGAGAATGTCTGGCCAGCAGTTTATGCCCTGTAACTCAAGTGAACTTGGTTTATTTAGCAGGACAGTGATCTGAAATGCACCACCAAGTAAAAACATTCAATAAAGAAGAGTCTGCCACAATTCCCCAACAGCACTGTGAAAGTCACATTGCCAGGTATTGCAAATATTTGATTGCAGTTCTTGCTTAGCAGGATGGCAGAACCAGTTATTAGGTCATATCAGCTTGGATAGTTTTTTTCCCCTTAATGTATAAAATCATCATTTAAAATCTGCATTATATTAACTTAAATTATCTCTGTTTAATATTAAAATTTGTTTGATAAACTGAAACAGGCAAGTATAAAAAGTGTAAAAAAGACAAAAGAAATTAAGAAAGAAATACTATTTCACAAACTGAAACCATATAGGAGAGGCAGCATCCGATGGTCCAGAAAGCAGATCTAGTGATGGTCAGAGTTATAAAATTGATGTGGCAAGATCTGAAAACTGTTGTTCACAAACGCTGTCCATCTAATCTGACTGAGCTGGAGCTGTTTTGC